GGGCTGATGTTACCTTGGCTTGCTGTGATTTATAAAGAGAATTCTCTGGGTATTTATTGCAAGCAAAGTCACAGCGGGGGCCTTGTGAGCCGGAGCGACGTCACTGAGGAATTCGGGATGAAAGACGTGGCCGGGCTAAAAATAACACAGGGCACAGTCGTTTGTTTTCCTTTCAAATAAAGGCCTCATTATGAAATGGAAATAATTGCAGGAATAATTGACTTTTCACCAGGCCCACTGCTCTTGCTTTGGTTTTGAGCTGTTCAGTCGTGCCCCATTCCCCGCCTGCAGGTCCCAGCCTTCCAGCAAAATCCTGCCTGAGGATGGGGCTGGAGCTTCCCTGGTTCCTCGAGAGCTTTGGGAGATTCCTGCCTCGGGATAGTCACATTTTAGGGAATCCACTTTCCCACAGAACAGCCTGGCAGTGGGCACTGCCCTGCCCTCCTTCCCACAGAGGGAAATCAAAGCCTGAGCCCCGTGCTGCAGCTCCAAAATAAATCTTTGGAGTCCAAAAATAAAATTGGATGCGAATATAAACTTGCAGAAACATTTGCTGATCTCACATTGAATTTTTTTTTTTTTTTAAATTCTTGGTGTGTTTTTTGTGATTGTTTTGACTGCTGAAACGGCTCCTGGCCCCGACTCCTGCTGTCATCATTCCCAGCAATTACAGGGATTTTTGAGATGGTTTTCTTTCTTTTCCCAGAGTTAACCCTTTGTGGTGAGGGTGGGGAGTTGTGGTCTCGCTGTGGGATGGGCATTTGGGGCTTTGGGATGGGCATTTTTCAGGAGGGAGATGGGGGAAGGAGGGAGCACATGGTGCAGGGCAGCTTCCCTGGGAATAACCTGCTCCCTAATCCCGCTGATTTCTCTCTCTTTTCCTACCAGGTCGGACAAAACCCTTCAGGACATTGTGTACAAACTGGTCCCAGGGCTTTTCAAAGGTACAGCCACGGGCAGGGATGGCTGGGGGGGTTTGGGGACAGTCCCAGGGACAGCAGGACAATGTGTGCGTGCACAGCCAGGGATGGGCTCACCCCACGCTCCGGAGGCTGCTCTGAGGGGACCCACGGGAGGCAAAGCTGGGAGCAGGAGCCTGGATTTGCTCTCCAAGTGCCTTGTTGGGGGGGGAATTGTGGGGCCTGCAGGTGTGGAAAGGCTGAGGAGCAGCGGTGGCTCCGAGGGTTTATGGATTGATTGCTCCTGCTGCTCCCCAAGGGAGGGGATACTGGGCAGTCTAAGGGGGGCTCTCACTCCCCTCTTCGCCCCCATCTCCCCTTGGAGAGGTGTTTTTACCCCCCTCACCTCCCTCCTCCTCCTCCTCCTCCTCCTCCCCCAGATGAGATGAAGAGGCGCCGTGATTTCTACGCGGCGTATCCCGTGGCTGAGGGTGAGTGCCAGGCCCTGGGGACCCCTCCCCTCACCCACCGTGCCCCCCAACAGCGGCTCAGCCCCTCCCTCCCTCCCCTCCCTCCCGCAGTTCCCAACGGGTCCAACGAGGATCGTGGCGAGGTGTCCGAGCAGGACAAGGGGAACCTGACGGACGACGAGATCGTCAGCCTGTCCATCGAGTTCTACGAAGGCTCCAGGTACCGCTTTTGGGGCTGCTCCCAAACCTCTGCCTGGGTTTGCTGGGGCCTTGGGAAGGAACTCCCACCTCCTTTCCCCACTCTGGCACTGAGATCGTGGGATGGTTTGGGGTGGAGGGGACCTTAAAGATCACCTCATTCCACCCCCCCTGCCATGGGCAGGGACGCCTTCCATGCCAGGCAGGCGGGGAAGCTCCTTCCCGAGGGCTGCTGTGTTCCCTGGTGCTGGTGGTGGCCTCTGAGGATGTCACTGGCACTTGGAGCAGCGTTCTGGAGGGAGTCAGTGTTTGCAGGGGCCTGGAAATGGGCATGGAAGTGGTCGGGGGGTGAAGCCACAGCCTGGCTGAAGGTCACTGGATGTCTCCCCATGCAGCCCCTCCAAGGACAGCCCTTCTGGGGGAGTTCTTTTTCCTCTCCACCTTTTCATTCCTCCATTAACTTTATCCTGTGTCTCCTTTCCTCCTTCCCCCCCAGAGAGGAGAAGAAAGGGACCATCGAAAACGGGGAACTGGAGAAGGAGAAGGTGAGCGTGGTGGGACTGCCACACGGACAGCTCCGTGTCCAGCTGCCCCTGGGGCCTTTTTGGGGCACGGGAGGGCACCCCAAAGCTCCTGCTGGAGGGAGGTGGGGGCTGCCCAAACCTGCCTGGTGGCCTCAGTGGCGTGTCCCCCCCAGAGCAACGGGCTGCGGTTCCTGCGCTGTCCCGCTGCCATGACCGTCATGCACCTGGCCAAGTTCCTCCGCAACAAGATGGATGTTCCCAGCAAGTACAAGGTGAGGGGATCCCCGGGGGGTGCTCATTGCCCGGCTCTGAGGGGGGGAAAGAGGGGCTGGCAGTGCCTCTGCCCCCATCCCCGGGGCTCTGACGGTGTCACCCGTGTCCCCTGGGCCAGGTGGAAGTCCTGTATGAAGATGAGCCCCTGAAGGAATATTACACCCTGATGGACATCGCCTACATCTACCCCTGGAGGAGGGTGAGCGGAGCTGCTGCTTCCCTGCCGTGGCCACACTGGTGCCATGGGGTGCCACGGGGTGCCACGGGGTGCTGTGGGATATCGTGGGGGTCATGGGGATGCCATGGGGTGCTGTGGAGTACTGTGGGGTGCTGTGGGGTGCTGTGGGGGTGTTGTGAGGCGCTTTAGGGTGCTATAGGATGCTGTGGGGTGTCATGGGGTGCTATTGGGTACTGTGGGGTGCCATTCAGTGCTATAGGGTACCATGGGGTGCTATAGGGTGCCATGGGGTGCTGTGGGGTGCCATGGGTTACAGTGGGGTGCTGTAGGATGCCATGGGGTGCTATAGGGTGCCATGGGGTGCTGTGGGGTGCCATGGGTTACAGTGGGGTGCTGTAGGATGCCATGGGGTGCTATAGGGTGCTGTGGGGTGCTGTGGGGTACCGTGGGCGCCACAGGGTGCCAGCTGTGCCCCTCTGCTCCCCCTCCCCTCCCCGCAGAACGGCCCCCTGCCTCTGAAATACCGCGTCCAACCCGCCTGCAAGCGGCTCAAGCTGTCCCACCCGGCCCCCTCCGAGGGCACCAACACCAGCGGCGCCTCCGAGTGCGAGTCGGGCAGCGACAAAGCCCACAGCCCCGCCACGCTGCCCGCCACCTCCTCCTCCCTGCCCAGCCCTGGCACCCCGTCCCACGGCTCCCCCAGCTCCGGCACCGGCACCACCCTCAACGGCACCTCGAACTGCCACCCCCTGGCACCCACCGGCGCCCGGTGCCGCAAAACGACTGTGAACGGCAGCGCCGGCTCAGCCTTGACCTAAAAACCCGCCCCAGCAGGGACTGCCCCGGCCGGCTTTTCTATGTGGATGATGTTCCTATACAGACCTATATAAATATATACGTGTACATAGGGAGAAATGAAAGAATTATACATACTTGATTTTTCTATCGATCCAGCAGATTTAATTTAAAACGCGAAAAAATAAGACACAGAAATGTGGGTGGCTATTTTTTACATGTGGGTTGTTTTTTTGGTTTTTTGAGGGTGGAGTTGTGTTGGTGGTTTTTTGTTTGTTTGTTTGTTTGTTTGTTTGTTTCTCTGGTTTGGTTTTTGGAGTTCGGTTTTGCCTCATGGGAGCTGCATGCCGGAGCTGGGAGCCACGCAGGTGCTGCCACATTCCCTGTTGTCTCTTAACGCTTTTCCCTCTCCTCCTCGATCCCTCTCCGCTCGTGTCCCCCCCAGAATGAGTGGGGACCCCTGGCTGCACAGGTAAGGGCCAAGCACAGGTAAGGGCCAAGCACAGAAGCCAAAAATTGCCCCTCAGCCTAGCTGTGCTGTGGGTTTTCTGTTTGTTTGGGGTTGTGTTTTTTGCATTTTTGTGTTTACTTGGGGGTTTTTAGGCACACCTGTCCAGGTGTCCCATCACCCCCAGCTTTGCCGGGCGTGGGTTTGGGTCTTTCTTTGCTTTCCCCGTGGATGCTGTTCCAGGCTCTGGGCAGGCCAAGCCTCGCACAGACACTTCCCCTTCTGCACAGTAAGTTCTCTTTTGGTTTTTTTTTTTTCCAGCTTAAAAATTATCTCTTGCTTGCAGCTTGGTGGCACTGGGGGGGGGTTGGAGGACAACCCCCCGGAATATTTTCTCCTCCCTGGGGTGCCAGCAGCTCCGGGCCCTGCTGGGAAATTTGGGGGCATCCAAATCCAGGAGGGTGAGGGACTCCCCCCCCCCCCCGCAGGGCGCCCATTTCCCAGCATTTATTTTTGGTCTCCCCCCTCTCCCCACTGTCCTTCCCACCCTCTCCTCCTGCCCTCACATTGGGGTTTTAATAAAATAAAATACAAAAAAGCAGACTACAGTGCCTTTAGCCAGGAGGCTTCGGTGAGGGGGCGAGTGTGGGAAGGTGCTGCCCTGCTTAGGGCGGGAGTGGAGCGGCTCTGAGGGAAGGGACCAACTTTCTACGAGGACAGAAAAAGCACACGGGCCCCAGGGAATGCAGATCCCAAGGGTTCCTCTCCTGTCCTTGCTGGGGAGGGGGATGAAGGACAAAACAATGAGCAAGTGCCTGCAGCGCCCGACGGCCCCCAGGGCACGGTGAGAACCAAAGGAAAGCGGCACAGGAATTGTGGGGACAGCCCAGCTCCGGGGCTCGGGAAAGGGGGAGACGTTCTTACTGTAGCTTTTGATTTGGAATTATTGTTTTGGGGAGTGCTGCAACCCCCAGCACGGACTCGGCTATAGCACAGCCCCGGGGGAAGGGTCCCCACGGGGCCACTTTTGTCTCTTGTCCCCATCCCCGGGCTGGGGCTGGGCCGGGGGCTCCAGGTGTGTGTGTGGGGGGCTCTGTTTGTCTCGACTTTGACACCCCTTTTCTCCTTGTAAATAGGCCAGGCTGGACTGTGGGAGGCGGCTGCCTCGGGCTGGGGTTTGTGGGGGGCTCGGGGAGGGGGTGGTTCGGTTTTTGGTTTTTCCCTCTGTGGTACAAACCCAATGGCTCTGTGTGTTTGCATCCTGTACGGCGTTTTAATGTCCTGTAAGATATCCCGATATCCAGGTATTGTTCTTGGTTACACATTTGTATGGATACAGCTTTGTAAATGTAATAAATGCTGCAGACTGTCCTTCCCGCCTGTACAGGGGCAGCTCCAGGTCCCTCTGTCCCAAATCACACAGGTTTCTTTGTCCTTCATCCCACAGGTCCCTCCATCCCCAAGCCCAAAAGTCCCTCTGTCCTGCCTCCCCTGCATCCCCCCATCCCAAATCCCACAGAGCCCCTCCATCCCAAATCCCACAGCCCACCCCCCATTCCCGCATCCTGACAGGCACCCACAGCTCTGGCAGCGCAAACCTGCTCCTGAGAACCCCACTGTCCATGGGATTCCTTCTTTCCCAGCCGCTGCTGAGCCTCTGGCAGGAGCCCAGGTGGACAAAGGGCAAATTCCCTGCCCCACGGGCTGGTTTGCTGCAGCTCCTCAGTAATTCAGATTTAACTGGGGTGAGGGCTCGGCATCTCCCCGCTCTCCCCGCGCATCCTGGTGCTCCCGAGCTCCCGTGGGATCCACGTCAGGCCCGGGGGGGCAGGGGGGCCCCCTGAACAGCCTCCCCGTTGTGGGTGCCGTCACAGTACGGGGGGTTTTGGGTGCGTTTGCACCCGCAGAGCCAGGCGGGCCCGTCCTCCTGGGGGGTGAAGCGCAGCGAGGACATCCCCGGGGCCGCCTTCTTGTGGGAGCCGTCGCAGAAGGGCTGAAAAGAGACGGGCAGGGGGTAAATTTGGGGGTCTTGGGGTGCCCGGCTGCTTCCCCGCGGGGCGTGAGACGGTGGAGGCCGCGACCCCTCGAGCATCCATCCCACCCACGGGCAGCGCATCCCCCGGGAACCGGCGGGAGAACCCGGGGAGGGCAACAACCCCCAAAAAAACTCCCATCCCGGGACTGCGGGGGGGGGTGTCCCCGTGGGGCTGGTCCTGCCCTGGCCCCATCGGCATCCCCGCACATCCCAAGTGGAGGGAGCAGACCCCTCGGAGTCCCTGGACCCTCCCCCGGTTCGCGGAGCCCCCCAGACCCTCCGGATTTCCCCGAATTCCCCCCGGCCGGACCTGGCGCTTGCTGTGCCCGCACGAGCACCACCCGTACGTCTTTCCTGCCTTCAGCTCCACCGGGAAGGGCTCCTTGGCGGCGATCGCGGGCTGCGGGGGGACCGAGGAGGAGGAGGAGGAGGAGGAGGCGGAGGAGGAGGAGGAGGAGGAGAAGGGGGCCGAGCCCCGGGGGCCGCCCCGCGCCGCCCTCAGCAGAGCCCCGAGCGCGGCCGGGCCCAGCCGGTGCATGGTGTCGGTCACCCTCCCGGCACCGGGACCCTCCCGGGGCCGCTCCCGGTCACCTTCCCGGGCAGTTCCTCCTCCCGCCGGAAGGGCCGGGCCGGGCGGGCTCGGCGGGAGCGCCGGGCTCGGTGCGGGAACGTTCCCCCCGTCGCGGATCCGCCGGGGATGCTGTCGGGGATGCTCCCGGTGATGCTCCCGGTGATGCTCCCGGTGGTGCTGCCGGGGATGCTCCCGGTGTGTGGTCCCGGTACCCGACCCCGACTCCAGTCCTGGTGCCCCGATCCTTGTTCCTCTGCTGATCCCGGTTCCCCATCCCGGTCCCGGTGCCCTCTCCCGGTGCCCGATCCTTTCAGGAGGTGTCGGTGCCCAATCCCACTCCCTGATCCTGGTCCCCGTGCCCGATCCCGATCCCAATCCCAGTCCTGATCCCGGTCCCTTTCCTGGGCAAGGAGGAGCAGGATTCCCGTCTCCCGAGCGCAGCTTTCCCCTGGGAGAACGGGGGGCGTGGAGATCTTGGCTTTGGTACTTCCAAGGAACAAACCCCTGGGAAAGGGGAGGACCGAGGAGCTGCTCGTGAGGTCAGCGAGTGGTTTTGGGCCCTCAGTGTGGGCTATCCATGTGTTTTTTGGGGGATAACCTTTCCACCAACTGCTCCTCCCTTGCCCTGCTCTCCCCTCATTCCCAAAATGACCCTCCCCTGGGGATCCCCCTCCTGCATCCTGAGAGCATCCCTTGCTCTGGATGCTGCCACACATTCCCTGTGGAAAGCAGGACCCAGCACCTTTCCAGGGAATTCATCCCACAGCCCCTACTCTCATTTAAATTCCCCCCCCCCAGGCTGCATTAAAAAACTCTTCGATATTAATATTAATATTATTTATTATAATAAAGAACAGTCAAGCAGCGTGAAAAAAATATATCTTAGCTACATTACCTTAAATTGCCAAAAATATACACATTTTTCTCTTTTATTTAATTAAAAAAACCCCAAAACAAATCCAAAAAAAGACACATGCAACATACTAAATGAGACATGAGCATCAAAACGGGTAAAGAAACGTACCCCAGTGCAACTGAAACACAGATAATCTTTAGCTTTTCTTTTTCCTTTCTCCTTCTCTCCCTCTTTTTTCACAGGGATACAACTGGCGACCTTCCAGCAGTGCCCCCTTCTCCTCCTCCCCCCCTCCCTCCACCCCTCAATCTGCCAAAGGGACCTTTGGCTCTGGGACAGGTTGAGGTGACAATTCCCAGGGATTGGGAGCCTTTGGAAGGTGTTGGAGAGATGTGTAAGTGCTTTATGTCTCTTATCCCCCTCGTCTTCTCCAGCCTCATCCCACCCTGCCCCAGGGACCCCCAGAGAGCCAGGGGGGATCGTCCTCAAACTGCTGCCACCCCCAAGCAGGGGGCCAAGGATGCTGCACAGCTCAGCCCTCCCTGATTTAACAGTGATCCTGCCTAAAAAAAAAAACAAACACCAATTCCTTGATTTCCAACCTCTTCCAACGCCTGGGTTCCCAAATATTCTCCCAGGAGCAGTGCAGAGCCCCACCCAGCACCTCTCAGCCTCCTCACTCACCACTAAGTGCCTCTCCCTGTCCCCCCTGTGCATCTCCTGCTGTTGCCCAGGGATTTGGGCACCAAATCCAAACTTGGGGGTGATTCCAGCATGGATTCTGTGTGTTCTGGGACATCAGTGCATTGTACCCCAACTCGCTGCACAAGGGATTGATCCTTCCCTCCCTCCCATCCCTCTCTCCCTGGCGCTGGCACGTTTTTTAATTCCAGGGCGCGAAATGAGGTTGAATTTTGGAAGAATCTGACCAAGTCTGGGCACGACCTCAGGGCCTTGGGCTTATAACTTGGGCTGGAGGTGACGGGAATTTGGGATCTCAGAGTAACAAAAACGGCAGAAACAAAACAAAATAAAAATCCCCCCCTGGACAAACAGAGCTGGCAGAGCCCAGGCTGAGGCTCCCATCCATCATCCCACTCACCCAGACCAGTGCTGAGGAATTCCTGCTCCCAAATCCCAAGGATTTGAGGGATGGCAGGTCCAGCTTTGTGTTTGTGCAGCCACCACATAAAAACAGGCACTTCAGGGCTGAGGGGCAGCCCCGAAATTTAGCATTTTAGCCCTAATTTGCAGAATATATTTGCTCTCTGTAGCAGTTGCTTTCAAGTGCCTCCTCACGTGGCAGGGGCAGCCAAGGTGAGACCTGAGGTTTTTACAGCTCACCTGAGCCAGGTGAGCTTTAAAAACAGCTCCTGCACTGAGCAGAGGGTCCCTGTGCCAGGGATTTTGGGTGGCACCTCTGGGGGTGCCAAGGAGGGGGAACAACGCAGCTGAGTTGGGAGTGGTGGAGGGGGGGGGGGGGAAGGAACAAGAGAAAAATCAAAAGGAGTTTAAAAAGTGCAAGGACACAATTGTGCCAGAGCGATTTTGGGGGCACAGGGAGCCAAAAGGCTGGGTTGAACTGAAAGGTCTCAGTCACAGTTTGGAGGTGGCAGGTGGGGGGAGGTGGCACAGCTCGCCTGTCCCTTGGCAGGTGTCTGGGGACAGGGACGTGCCAGCTTTTTTTTCCTGCTTTTCCACTTTTAGCTGCCATCTCCACCTTCCCAATAGCTTCTTAACCTTATTAAAACATTAGCTTTTCTTTATATATATATAAAAAAATTATTTATATATATATATATATAATATATATATATTTCTAGGCAGACAGCAGCGTTCTGCCCAGTTCACAGAACTGCAGGCTGAGAGCAGAAAGGTTTTCTCTCTCCTTTTTTAGCCTTATTCAACCATCATGGTGACAATCTTCCAAACAACCAAATAAAATAAAATAAAATAAAATAAAATAAAATGGAAGAAAGATATTTAGCAGATGAGTTTTGCCTAGGACAAGCTTTTCTAGTACATCAGCACAGCCCCACTGCTGACAGATTTGAATAGTGCAAACTAGTTAAAGGCAGTGGGAATGTGCTGAAAAATGTCATTAAGGTCCAGCAACTTGGTTTTTAAGACCCTCAGAGTTTTTTTTATCAGCTGGAGCCTTCCCACCTTCCCCCCAGGAGCTCTGGAGTTACCCAGGGCACCAGGAAAAGAAGGGGCATTGGTACATTTGACGTAGGTGTTCCCCCTCCCCAGAGCTGCCCCACCTGTCCTTTATCCATCCATCCATCCATCCATCCATCCACCCACCCATCCATCCATCCATACATCCATTCATCCATCCATCCACCCATCCATCCATCCACCCATTCACCCATCCATCCATCCATCCATCCATCCATCCATCCACCCATCCATCCATCCATCCACCCATCCATCCATCCATCCATCCATCCATCCATCCATCCATCCATCCTTCCATCCATCCAAGCTCAGAGGAAGCCGATTCCTGGCTGAGGTTCTGGGATGCAAGATGGAATTAAGGTCAAAAGGTGGAGAATGACGAAGGGTCCGATGTCCCGGCTCAGGATTCTGGTCACTGTCCCCATTCCTTGGAGATCCCCTTTTCCCAAGAGCCCAAGACCAGTGGAAGAACGTGGTTTTGCCAGACTGGAGTGATTTGTGGTGGGCAGGAAAGAACAGGGATGGGATTCAGGACTCTCTTCCCCACATACATCTTGATCTTTGAGCTCAGGTCCAGGAATCAACCTCCAGGCTCAAATGCACCTTCTGACGTTGGATAATCCCGGCTCCAGCCTCTTTTGCACACTGAAATGTTATCCTTTGGGAATCCTGGAAGGGAAGGGACGGCCCAGAGCAGGAATGTGCTTTTCAGGTGAGGGCAGCGCTGACCCAACAGCAGCTGGCAGGGCGGGTGTGACAATGTCCTTCCAAGGCGGCCTTCACCTCCTCCTCAGCTCCACTCCTCATCCATGACTCCCACTTGTGTCTTTCCAGGCTGGATTTGGCTCCAGCTGAGCTTTCTGGGTGAGAGATCTCAGCTCCAGGAATTCTTCCGAGCGTTCCCATCCGGGCGCGGCCACCACGCCCCTTCCCAGCGCCCTCACATCCAAGTGCTGCCTCTCCACACGGGGCAGGTTGGCAGGGAAACCACCCCCACCTTCACTCCTCGCGACACCAGGGCTCGGCCACAGACCTTCTGTCTTCCAAAGCACCTCTTGGCGTGGCCCGGCGCAGGGAACGCTCCTCGGAAGCCTTGTGCTCATTGCTCTAACAGTGTCAGGGTTGGCTGTGGAAAAGCCACGTTCCCCCACCGGGGGAGAGGAGTTGGCTGCTGGTTTTTTTCGGGGTCGGGGAAGGGGGGGAAGCTTAGCCCTTGTCCTGGGTAAGAGGAGCTCCCTTTTCATTCATGGTCTTTAAAAAAAACAAAAAAACAAAAAACAAACAAAACAAACAGAAAAGAGACGCAGAGGAGACAGGTATGAGAGGAGACAGGAATCAGAACGGGGAGGAGGGCAGAGCTGAGAGCCCTGATGTGCTGCACACCCAGCCCTGCTCGCTGGCACCTCTCAGGCTCCTCCAAAACCAGGAGACACATGAGAGCCCCAGGATTCCCTCTGCCTGGTTCAGGCCCACCTGGCCCCTCCACCCTGGCCTTTGGCTCCCAAATGTCTCCAAGCAGGGCTGGAGCTCCTGGGTACAGGCACAGGTAGAGGGGAGGGATGGAGGAGGAGCAAGTGTCACCCCACCAGCCCCTGGGCACCGGTGCCCCCGGTACAAGGCTGTTCACAGAGAGGCTGGAAGCCTGTCCAGCTCTCCTCCTGGGTGCAGGATTCCTCCTAAACCCCGGGCGTCAACAGGGAGCCACCTTCACCTTCCGTCGCGAGGCACTGCCTGGGGCACCTCATCCCATCCGAACCTCGGGGACAGGGGAGCCAAACCCACAGCCTGTCCCTGCCTGGCTGCTGCAGGAGGTCGGCTGTGTGTCTGCACACACGGGTAAGGACACCTTGGGGGGCCTCTGTGCCCGCCAGGGCCGTGGGAGCCGTCGGAGGCACCATCAGGACATGCCGCTGGCCAGGCGGGGATGCAG